TATTACATCAACAATGTTACCAGATGAATTAAAAAAAGCAATATTAACACATTCACAATCAATAATTTTTTATAGATTTCGTGGCAATGATAATAATCGTAATATTAATAATTTATTATTACCAACTTTTAAAAATTTAAAAACTTTAAAATTATCAGTTCATTGTAGCCAAATAACAAGTTTGAAAAATATTTCACTGCCAAATATTGAATCTGTGGAGTTATATATTACTCATCAAATATTTCTATCAGAATTATCTGATTTTATTAATATCAATGGAAAAAATTTTAAAAATTTGGATGTTTATGTTTATGATCATAATGATGGATTCTTGAGAAAGCTATTTCAATCAATTGCACAATATTGTGAAAATTTAGAAGATTTATCTATAACATATGAGAACAAATTCAACCAGGAATTAATGGAAGTGCTTAATAATTGTACTAAATTAAAAAGTATTAGATTTCGTAATTATTTTAATGCTGAAATAGATTGTGATAAAATATTGACAGTATTAAATGAAACATTACCAGAAAAATTAAAATCAATAACTTTTACTTATGAGATTTATAATGTTAGTAACCATTCTTTGGATATTCTAATGAAGAATTGGAGAGGACCCAAACCTTTAGTAATAGGATTTGATATATATGAGTGTGAAACTATGCTAGAAAGTGATGAAAGAAAAATATTAGAAAAATATCAAGATTTAGGCTTTTTAATAATCAATAGAAAATAATCTGGAAAAATGAAATTTTATGTAAATGTTCAATAATTCATGAAAACAGCTTGATGAGTTGGAAAAAATCAGGAAAATATTTAAGCAGATAAAAAAGCTTTTAATCTTTCAACAAATATATAACAAATTTCATAAAGATAAATTTATTCATTAATATGTTTTTGAATATTTGACACATATTCTAATTGACTACTCAATAGACAAACAATTTTTCTTAATTTAAAATATTATAACATTGCTGCAAAGAATTACAAAAATAATTTAGAAAATGCTTAAAGATTATTTCTTTTTTTGCTTTTGTAAAAAATTAAATTTAACAATTTATATACTTAAAACTGAATACTTTAAAATTTTTTTTGTTGCATTATAAATAAAGGCTATTTTCTTTTAACTATTATTATTATGAAACACATGCTTCAAGAGCTCAATTCCCCTTGAAAAATGCTTTTTCATTGAACTATATTAACAGATTAGCTGGCTAACATCATAAGATATATTGATATATCATTTTTTAATATTAATGAATAATGATAATGATATGATCATGGCAGGAAAACAAAAAAATATTATGATAAATTCATAAAATGTATTAGAAAATGACTTATCAGGGAATATCCTGCTAGGGAAAATGGGTGCAATCCTTAAAATAGAGTTATTAGATTATAATTAGGTTCATCAAGAACAGAATTAGATGAATTATTAAAAATATCAAGGCTTGGGTGGGATTTTTAAAATTATAAAGTTATCTATAAGTTATACTGATTATTTTTTATTGTGTAACTTTTTTTAATAAAGATATTGTATTGATTTACCACATGAAGCTTTAATTGAAATATTCAGATGCATTGAAGATGATTATATTGTCAGTAAACAATCTTATGGAGAAATCCATTTTAATAGATGATAAAGAATTTTTATTAAATAGCAACATCAAATTAAGCTTTTCAACTATTAGAATTATTGATAGAGATCTACAACAAGAATCTGCAATTCATAGTGAACTCTCTAATTTTAAGAGGAAACATTAGTGCTGATCCATTTATTTTAGATTAATTCACCATATATACAGTAGTAAATATATCATTTTTTTTAGTAAATAATTTTTTTTTCCTTAACAATACTTTGTATTTCATAAGCTAATTCTCCTTGAAAAAAAATTTTTTTTATTTTTGCTATATATGTTTTTAAAAAGTAGTGGAGAAAGAAAATTTTAAATGAATGCACCATTAAATATTATTTGAGAATAATGAAGCTATTTTCTCACATATATTATCAGAAGTGGAGGAGATGTAGAAGGAAATAAAAATTGTAGATGCAATGCAATAAGTTGAACATTATGTTTAAATAGATTTAGGTAACAATAATAATTTATGATATTCTTCTAATAAAAATTTTACATAATTTTTCATCAAATTATACCACTATAGGATAAAATACATAATTTTTGCTGATTACAACTAGGGTCTTCCCTTATTATTATAATAACAAACTATGCTTCGCATCACAAACTATATGTCTTGTGTCACAAATTATGCTTTGAATCACGAATTATGCCCCGCGTCATGAATTATTGCCTCAGAAGACCCTTGGTTTCATATGATTATTATTTGAGGCATTGGTTAAATGCCAAGGTTCTCTTTATTTACCATTCAACAAAAATTTATTAATTATAATTTGTTGTGCTAATTATAATAAAATCATGTTAAATTAAAAATAGCAAACAGACAGTATATTTTACATTTAATTGTTCATTTTCTTTTGTAGTTATCCTAGTGAGTTTAGCTATTGCTAACCGTTTGGGTCATGTGATTTTATAGTGGCACTAAAAATAGTTGTCATTATTAATTTGAGATGATCAACGGGAAATTTTGTTAAAAAATAAATTAGCAGTCAGTAATGGTCTATTAATATTACAAATATTAAAAAAAAAATAATGGTATATAATAGTAAAATAATAATAAAAAATGTTATGTTTAATAAAAATTATATATTTAAAACAAGTGTTAATATTAATGCTAATAAAGTTATTTTTCGATAATTTGCAGATTAGGATTTATATGTCCATTAAGTTGCAAAAATGTAGGAATACCATCCTTGTCACTTCTCAGGGTTCTATAATCATATTCATTTAGACTATAAAACTTGATGAACGAATGTCCTTTACCATTGTTCTTTGTATAATTGACAAAAACCTCGCCGTTATAACGTGGGTTATTGATTTCACTAAGAACACCTAACATTGCAATAGGATCTTGGTCATTTGCATAGTGTTCGATGCGTTTAATCAAGTTTCCTGGGTTTGTGAATTCTCTAGATGCACTTCCAAATGTGTAAACCTCTAGTTTATTGAGAAAATTTTGTTCACCCGTGTAGCTTAATTCCACATATAGTCTTCTCAAAACCAAATTTGCTATTACACAGCCTTGTGAATGCACTACTAACCGAACGGTATTAACTTGTTTGTTTCTGAGCGCTGGGATAATCTCTTCAACAGAAGCACGTACTGAAATTGTATCTACTTCAAAACTTCTTTGAAGGATGGTCTCTATTATATCATTGATCACACCATAACTTTTATTTAAAATTCCTGTAACTCCCCTATCGAAACGTTCCTCCAAATGATTACAATTTTGATCTAACAAGTATTTTGTAACACAAATTCCATTAATAAAAAACCATCTTTCCTGATTATATTTATCCGATAGTCTGGATGAACGAATATATTCGCGTTCCAAAGCCTTTGTCATCACCAGAGGATAGAAGAATAAAATTGGGAAAGACAAAAGAGTCGTCACAACTATATATAGTTGGCTGGCAATGTTATGAAAATCAAGTTTGGCTCCTGTTTCATAAGAAGTTTTAAAGGAACTGAATATGCTATTACTATTACGAAAGATAAATTCATCAATAATTTCATACGAATGAGTTATAACGAATTTAATGTCTTTACTAAGATATACCCAAGGGTTTGTTTCTGTCATCTTGATGAGAATATTTTAATTAGTTTTCTAAAAAAAAAAAAGTTGATGACTACCATATTTATAGTCTGGCACTATCATTGATTAACCTATTCGGATCAATTATTTATTGGTTTTTTTCAATAATATAATAATAAAAAAAAATTATATTATTGTCGGGAAAAACCATATTAATATTGATTGTGTAAATGATTGTAACATAAAAAAAAATGTTTAACGAAATTAAATTATAACCATCTTGTTTTTTTTTTATTTAGCGCAAACACGTTATATTTCCATAGAATGTTTAAAGAATAATAGAGATTTCTGAACAGAATTATGCTGTGGCGATCTATTTATATCTTTATATGTTAACTTTATCGTTAACTGACTAGGCATTTTTATTAATTTAAAATAAAAAAATTTTAATCCCTTTTTTTTTTTTTCGTTATTATTATTATTGAATTTTTTAAAAATAGTAAGCCATTCGTTAATACAAATAAAGAAAATAAAGAAATATTTAACTAATACTAATAATAAATAAAGTTCCCACTCGTGTAACAATAATTTTTAAACGAAAGTTAATTTTCTTCCTTTAGCGAAAATGAAAAGACGACTGATTTTTTGCTTTTTACCTTCAGAGAAATGAAAAAAATGTTTGATTTTTTGCAATCTGCATGCAATAATTAAAATTTTTCTCAAATAATAATGTATAGTATAGTTAAAAAATAATGGCAAGAGAATTTTTACAAAAAGCGAAAAAACATTTGATCTACAAACACATTTTCTACAAAAAATTCCTTCACAAAAAATATTTTAGTTATAATCATTAATTCGTGATTCTTTTAAAAATGAGTGAATGTTAATTAGTGATCGGCGGGGTGCATTTACAACATTTTATAGTAAAAATCATCCAGTTCGCCTTACTTTTCTACCGTAACATCATGTTTCCATTTGCATTTTTGTAAAACAAACATTTGAATATCAATAAACAGACTGTTATGAATATTTTTATCAAAAAAAAATTTTTTTTGTCCAAGCCGTTTTTGCACTATTTCAATCTTGATTGGGGATTATGGGTATAAAAACCAACTTTTTTACGCATAATAAAATGACTTAAAACTAAAAATTATGTTTATTGGTTCGTATGTTTATAACATAATGTCCAATTCTTTCTCAGCTGACTCTTTTTTATGTTCTCTACTAAAACGCGTTATCCAATTTTCTATAGTTTTTATTTTTGGTAACTCATTCGGATCCAACATGCCTGCTTCTACTCTTTGTTTTAGATCTGCAAGCATCGTTTCAGCAGTGAATCTATTCTTCTTGTCTACATTTCCTGACAAAAAATAGGCTCTTAGAAGTTGTTTTACCTGTTCAGACATGCGTTTACTTCCACCACGCTTTCCAAAATTTTGGTTTTCACGAAGAGCCCAACCCAGTTCAAAGTAATTCCCTCTAGAAAATTTTAAAATTTGTTAATTTATTATTATTTATTATTATATTAATTTTTTTTCCTATTTATAGTTCACTTAGGAAAAAATGTCTGTTATAAACAAGACTTAAATTCTCAGTCTGTTATAGAGCAAGACCCATTATAGAAAGGTCCATTATTATTATTATAAGTACCTGTATTCATTCTTTTTTACTGCTTCATCTTCATTCCCAGGTATCATTATATGGCGTTTTTTTGTTTTGGATATTTCAATTGATATGGATGGTACATTGTTCAACACTGCACCTTGAGAATGAATTTCTACACAAATTTTCATAGGGGAAATAAGCTCAGATAAGAAAATGTTTATTTAGATTTATATAATATACCTTTGATTTTGTTTAGAGTTTCTTCTCCAATTTGCTTTCGTAGTTTTTCTACCAATTCATTTTTACTTTCCTTCTCTTCATACTCAATTTTTCTTTTTTTCAATTCAGCTTTTACAACATCCTTGGACAATCTATTTGGATCTTTCTCTGAAAAAAATGAATTGTGGAAAAGAAAAAATTATAAAGATAATAAGATAATAATAAACAATAAATTTGAACAAAAAAAATTATTAATAGAATTGGTATTAGTAGTAATAATAAAATAAATATATAGTATAATAACAGTGATTATAAATAAAATAATTTAATTTATTTAATTAATAATTTGTCTTAAATTAAAATTAAAATTTATCCTACCTTTACTAGGCAATGGAATGGTCCATTCTGAGCTTGGTGTTGTTTTGACTGAAGTTGATGGATTTGGTTTTATTAATTCTTGGTCTTTTAGAGATTTCTTAATATCAAATGGTGAAAAGGTATTCCATGTACCAAAATTGGGTAAAGAACGTGCACAAATATAGCCAGATAAGTCACCATCTGTAGGCCAAGTGAAATATGACCAATTTGTAATACCTTCTAGAATGGATAATGTTTTATTTGCTTTTTTTGGTCTTTCATTAGGGTTAAGGTTTGCAATAGATGTTCCTTGAAGTCCTTTTGCTGCATTTACTATATCTTCCCCACTCCGGATATCATATCCAATACGTACATATCATTTTATTGCATGCTTTAACTAAAATTATCAAATTTATTTATTACTCTATATATAGATAAAAAATTTTTAAAATAAACATACTTGTGCATGGTGGGAATCAACAGTAGTCTTTGCTTCACCAGGTTCCAAAAAAATCCATGATCTTATTTTTATATTATACCATTTACTCCATTGACTAATCATCATCATCAACTCTTTATTATGATAATGTGCACCATTATCAGACAACACTTCAATCCATAAAGGTTTTTTTTCCATTGTAGAAAATAAACCATCAAAGGATGATGCTGTGAACCAAGCATCTTG